GCATTCTTGCATTTCTCCCTGAGTATCTGCTCCAGCCGTGCAGCTGGGGGTCCTGGGTACTCACCCTGCCAAATGATCTTGGGCATACTCCTTGCCCCGAGAGGGCCTCAGTCCCCTCACCCTCCATGGGAGGATATAACTTGCCTGTAAAAACACAGAGCCAGGCCCACCCAGAGGCCACTCCTATGCAGAGAAGCAGTCAGGGTTCATGTCCTGCCTGTCTATGACTTGCTGCAGTCATTGCTCCTTGAGGCCTTTTTTCTAAGCTTCCATCCAGCTTACACTCAGGTGCCGGGGCCTTGGAGTCATCCGGGAAGCCAGGTATCCTGCCATCCTGGCGGGAAGGGATAGTTGGCACAGAGCAGGAGCAGGCTAGTATACCAGCCAGGAGCTGGGGTACAGTCAGGAGGAGCTGGGCTTCCCCACTGATGGGTACAGCTTGCGCAGGCTGGAATCCAGGAGGAAGTCCACTGACCTGTAGGAAGGGGGAGGTGGTGAGCAGGTGGCCAAAGGAGGCATGACACCAAGACTAGAGAAAGGGACCCCTAGATGCAGTATACAAATGCCATCCAGGTAGAAACTCCTCCCAATTTGGGCTACTTGGAAAAGACAGAATCAAAGAGGCAGATATCATCCTCTTCTTTTTTTTTTTGCCAGGGCTGGGTTTGAACCCACCACCTCCAGTATATGGGGCTGGTGCCCTACTCCTTGAGCCACAGGCGCCACCCATCCTCTTCTTTTCAATTAGAGAAAATGAAGTATAAAGAAGTCCTCGCTTGGGGCCTCAGGATCAATTATGTTCCCCTGGAGAAAGACTCCTCTCACTCCATGTTGGTCTGGTTGGGTTGACCACTTCTAGTTCTAAAAGCAGACACATGAACCAAGCCTGGCCATTCAGAAATGAGAAACTGGCTCAGGGATGGGCACCCCATCTGAGATGGACCAATAACAACCTTCCTTGGAATTTCTGTTGTCACTATTAAACAGGCTTCTGATGGGGCTTGCTAAGTGGGTAAAGCCAACAAGGAATGGGGTAGGGGTCAGTTCTCTGTAGTGTTTGCTAATGTTGGAGCTGTCTGCAAAGTATCCTTGGCAAGGAGTTTCTGGAGCTGTGAGGGATACAGCAATTTGGCCAATATTGTCTTAACATGCTTCAAATAAATCAGATGTTCTCAGTGCAGAACCTGGTGGGCAGACATGGGAATCCGAGGGGAACAGTAAAAAGAAAAGCCCAACAAGCTGTAGCTGAAAGCTTCGACTCAATCTTCGACCAAAGATTGTAGCTACAAAAGCTTCGACCAAACCGGTTCAGAAACCACCCAGAAGTAATGTTAAGAATAACCCTGTTAGTACAACTCCAACTCTGGAACTAGGTGGGCTTGAAAAGGGGACAGTCTACCATCTACTAAGTCATTCTGAAGATCCTAAGTCATTCTCAAGAGCTAACTACAACTCTAGGGGCAGGTACGAGAGGTATCGTTGCCCAATGCCTAAGATCTTTTACGTTCAGCTGCCTGTAGGAAATAATGAATTTGGCCAAGGGGAAGGAAAGACTCAGCAAGCTCCTAGACACAATGCAGCAGTGAAAGCCCTTTAAGCACTGTGGAGTCAGCCTGTTTCAGAAAAATCATATCAGAATGGTAAATCTGGAAAAGAAATGGATGCTGACAAAGATGCAAATACCTCTGAGATAACCTTAGTGTTTGAAATTGCTCTGAAATGAAATATGCCTGTCAGTTTTGAGATTATTAAAGAAAGTGGACCACCATATGAGAAAAGCTTTGTTACTCATGTGTCACTGGGAGAGTTTTCTGCAGGAGGAGAGGGAAATAGCAGAAAGTCCCCAAGAAACATGTTGCAACTACCATCTTACAGGAGCTTTAAAAACTTCCACCTCTTCCTGTGGTGGAAAACTCAAAACCATTTTTTTTAAATGCCCTAAAATAATATAGTAAAGGCGGGTCCAAAATATGGTCAGCGAATGAAGCCATCTGGCTCAAACTCAACAGGGCAAAAAGGGAAAGGAGCCAGATTGTTTTGCTTTCAGAAAGAGGAATGCCTTGTCAAGGATTTGGGATGCAGATCAGGGTAGACCATGAAGTTGCCACAGGAACAGGATCTAATAAAAAGACAGCCAAAAACCTGCTGCCGAAGCAATGCTGTTACAACTTGGTTACAAAGCATCTCTCCTAGTCTTCAGATCAACTTGAGATGACGGGAAACAAAGGCTGGCGTGGTCCAAAGGCTGGGCTTCCTGAACCACCAAATAAGACTGCAAATGGAAGTCTTCATTTGTCTCCTGATGTTTATCAAGAGATGGAAGCCAGCCGCCACAAAGTCATCTCTGACACCAGTCTGGGCTATTTGTCACCCAAAGACGCGAACCAACCTTCAATCTCTTTCTTCAGTGTATTTCCTACATTGAATAGTTCAGCTACAGTTGTCAGGGAACTCCTTAGGAATGGAACACCTCCAGAAGTTCTCCCACCCACCCACCCCCGCCTTGTTCCTCAGTACAACCTTCAAACAACTGGAATATTTAGCAAGGATTCAAGGCTTCCACATATGAATTAAAAGCAAAACCAAAACCTAAACAATTCTTTAGCCCCAGATCCTTCATCTCTATCTATCACAAGCTCATTTTGCCTGTTTGCGTGGCCTATGTGCCTCTTAAGTTGTAAGTTAATTAGGAACACAAAGGACAGAAAAGTGCCATATGCACACACCTCATTTCTTCTTGTTTTTGG